ACTAATATTTTCATCATTATTTCATTTACAATAATTGTTTACAACAAAAATATGCAAAAATGTTGTATATTAGTAATGTTCTATTATATATTTACAAATGTACAGCCACTCGACATGTTCCTTGAGGTGGATGACAAAGCGCTTTGTCTTGGAAACTGCCGAGTCACTAGCTAGCTTGCGTCATCACTCACTCCGTCTAGGCTGGTGCCTGGTGGCATCATCTCTAACTGACCATATGGTACGTGTTATCGTATGTTACAGGGTACCATATGGTACATTGTACTATATGGTATAGGGTACCATACAGTACAGGGTACCATATGGTGCAGGGTACCATATGGTGCAGGGTACAATATGGTGCAGGGTGCCATATGGTGCAGGGTACCATATGGTGCAGGGTGCCATATGATGCAGGGTACCATATGGTACAGGACACCATATGGTACAGGACACCATATGGTACAGGACACCATATGGTACAGATACAGGGATCCCATGGAAATAAGTCACCCTGACTTTTTTGGGTTATCCTAGGATTTTATACATATGCTGTTATGTATGATAATCTATGTAACTGTATTTGTGTACACCTGAATAAACTTACTCAAGCACATGTGGCATCGTAAGTTTATTTAGGTATGCACAAATAAAATAACATAGATTATCATACATAGCAGCATATGTTTGGAGAACCTAAGATAACCAAAAAAAAGTCAGACAGACTTATTTCCATTAGGGTCCCTGTACCATATGGTATAATGTACCATATGGTACAATGTACCATATGATATAATGTACCATATGATACCACTGTATGGCATGGCACCATTGTACCATATGGCTCAAAACCATAGAATTCCTCTTCAGATCCATTTCCATCAGTCTTAGAACTGTAAGTTGTGAAGAAGAGAGTCAGAATTTGCCCGGAGAGTGAGTGGGGAGTGAGAGCTTCCTTGCCGCCAGGCATGATGAACAAAGCTACTTTGGCTGCGTTCCCACAATGACATGCAGGCGTCCAGATTTTTTTCTACAGTGCGCATATTGACCACCCAGACCCATTCTCTCAGATGTAGGCCTACCAGCCTTCTTGCGCTAAATTTGAAGCCGCTAAAATTTTGGCGTAGATCTACGGTTTGGACCCTCAACGTAAAGCCATAGATCTACGGCATGGACCCTGAAAGGGTCAAGTTAGCAATAGAACTAGGAATTAAAAAACAATAAAAAAAGTAAAATATTGTACACACACAGTACACTCATTACTTACCTTAAAATATGTGTAGTCTTAATGTAGGGTGAGAGGTGAGTAGTATTTATTTGTAGGAAGTCAGGTGTGGCAGGTATGGTAGCCCGCCCAGTTATAACATTCATATTTCAGTCAATTTTTCTACTGTGGGTGTATGTTCGTATAATGTCTGTGTGTTATGTAGCATGTTTCTTATATAATTCTGAAAAAATATCATAGATGGATTAATGAAAATGTCTATATTAACATAATATATGACATTTATAGCCCCCCATAACGATTATTATATTATTATGCTGTCAAGACTAGCAAGATACTCTTAGTGATTTTAATGCGTACCTACATGCCAGCACGGTATGTACGTTTATTTAGGCACAGGTACACATATTTATAATTATCAGAGTACACACAATAACTTTAAAACACTTGAAATTTTGTAAGTTTCAAGACATAATGGAGAAACATGACGCTCATAGAGAATGTAAACAAACAGCAGCGTGCAGATGCCATAAGAGAGAGTCAGGTAGGGAGCCGTACAATGAGTTTTTGTCATAATTTGAAATGTCCATAATAGCGAAACACCGTAAAGTGGGGCCCCTACTGTACATGTAGTTTTTAACACACTGGATGTCTCCCATTAAGGCAGGGTGTTCCAAAAAAGAGGAAAAACATTCATCGTCATTCACTCAAATGCTGTCTTGCCAGAATTGTGCTGACAGCACCATTCTGATGATCCTCTGAACTGAAACATCCTCACCTCTCCTCCAGAGGTGCACAGATATGACAATTGAAACGTAGTGCTAAACAGCAAATATCCCAAACTCTTCCTTTAGAGTGCAGGCACTGTACTTCCCACCTCCAGGACTCAAGTCCTGCTAACCGGTTTCCCTGAATCCCTTCACAAAATATTACCTTGCTCACACTCCATCAGCTCATCAGTCCCTAAAACCATTTGTCTCCACTAGTTGCATACCTCCTTCACAACTTTTCCCAACAGGGTGACATGATAACTTTCAGTTACGAGAACTGAGTATAGTTCAAGATCCTAAAGTGTAATCACCACTCTGAGAGGAATTAATATTTTTACACGGAGATTCACCACAACCACTTTGACAATTTATCTCCACTAATACCTCACTGTTCACAGAATCAATGACAGAAATAAAATCATCATTAAGAATGCAATCAGAAAGGTTTCCTTTGCTACTCTGTAATACTGAAGACTCACAACTTAGTCTGTCATGGCCTGGGTGGCTCTCTGTAATACATGTAATTTCTGTGTGGCCAATTTCAATATTTCTTACAACATTGTCAGATGGTTGGCATGAACTAAATGAAGGTGTACAGGCATCAAGTGATGTAGCACAGGTATCAAGTGATGTAGCACAGGTATCAAGTGATGTAGCACAGGTATCAAGTGATGTAGCACAGGCATCAAGTGATGTAGCACAGGTATTGACTGATGTAGCACAGGTATTGACTGATGTTACACAGGTATTGACTGATGTTGCACAGGTATTGACTGATGTAGCACAGGTATTGACTGATGTTGCACAGGTATCGACTGATGCAGCACAGGTACTGACTGATGATGCACAGGTATCGACTGATGTAGCACAGGTATCGATTAATGCAGCATATGTGTCAACTGATGCAGCACATGTATTGACTGATGTAGCATGGGCATTGGCTGATGTAGCACAGGTACCAACTGATACTGAACAAGTACCAACTAAAGGTGTACACATACCAACTGATGAATCATTCTGCATTTCAAAATTTTCAATCTCTAGCATTTTACCAGTTCCTCTGCCAAGAACAAACGTGGCCATTTCATTTGATTCTTCGTGTACACTGCTGACTAACATTATCTGGCTATCACTATCAGCACAAGACTCTGGGGGATCTAAGGCTCCAATGTAGGTGCTGTTTTCAAACAGCTCGATGTCTGGGTACATGTGTGTCTCCTGCGAGATGACAAGACCCGAAACTGAGCTTATGGTTGTAGATGGTAGTGAGGAGGCAAGTCCCAAGGAGTTACATTTGGTATCTGCAATGGGACCTTTCTTTCCACTCTTGATTTTTAGACATTTAATAACAGATGTTTTCTGAGTAGCACGAGCTTTCTGCATCCTAATGGACTCGATGGTTCTATCATTGGCATGACTTATTTCTGGTTTCCTGGAAATATCCAGAGCAGTTGTCCATGTGGGTTGAAAAGTATGTGTTTGGTGGTTATCTTCCTGGTTTAGGGCTGCTGCCTGAGTGGCAATTTTTTCTTCCTGCTCCATGTGATAATTAAAGGCATATCTGTGCTTGAAGGTGCGCCCACACAGAGGACAAGTGAGAGGACGGTGATCGGAGTGGACCATGCGGTGATGTTTCAGGACCGAGCGTTGGCAGAAAGATCGTCCACAGTCCACACACATGTACGGTCGACACTTGCGGTGGACTTGGTTAATGTGCTTGTTTAATTCATTGCGATGGTAGAAGGCTGCTTCGCACTCTGTACACTTAATGCATCTTTCTTTATGCCTGATAATGTGACTTGCGAGATTCTTTGGGTGATTAAATTTGCGGCCACATTCCTTGCAACTGTACACCTTGCCTGAGTGAGCACTGGTCACATGATTGTGTAGCCCGCCGGCCGAAGCATAAACCCTCCCACACACTTTACATTTATGCTTCTCGTCATTGACAATCTCCTCGCTTGTGTTCATCTCAAAGTTATGAACAACCTTCAAGTGCTGCCTTAGAGCACTTGGTCGAACCAATGCCAGATCGCACTTGGGGCAGGTGTTGTGAGCATGTGTTAGTACATGTGTGGACATTTCATGCCCAGAAGAGGTGGTATATCCGCACCACTCACATTGAAGGCTGCCCGTGCCCCAGCTGCTGCTTTCAAACTCTACAGATTTGAAACTTCTTATTTCTCCCTGAAACACAGTAAAAACAGTGCTACTACTGAATGTCTGGTCAATTTATCACAGAAATACTGACAAATTTAATATAAAATTCAGCGCGGTGTGAATATCATGCAGTGAGTTCTGAGTTTAGAAATTAAAAGGCAATGTTGGGTGGTCAAAGGTAAAAGTCCGAGAGCTGGAGTTGAGCTGTTGAGATGGCTTGAACATGTAGAGAGGACAGACAGGGATAGATAATGAAGAGGGTGTTTAAATCTGGGTTGGAAAGTAGAAGGGAAAATGGTACAAGAGGTTTTGCGTTTTATGGACTTGAGCCTTTGAATCTTAGGAACTTGAGGCTCTGAGTTTTAATGACTTAAGCATCCAGCAGGTTTGTGTGTGTTAGAGTATATGGAGAGTAGTAGTTATGAATGGACATGTTGTTGAAGTATTCAGGAAAACTGGTAAGCCAGCCAGACAGATAATTTCCCCCCCAACAGTCTCCATCCATTGTTTCCCAGTCAACTGACCCAGCGGAATTTGTCGCGTACTTCCAAAGTCTGTTAAACGGAGGTCTGGTAAATCAGGTGTACACTGCACCATACTTCACTTTCTTGCATCTATGCCATTATTATTGTAACAATACAGTACATACATTTAAAAACACAGTAAGTTTAAAATAAATACAGTATTTAACCTACCTGGCCCACGACCGGGTTCTGGGAGTAGAAAGACTCTCAGAACTCATCAAAGGTATATCAAAGGTAAGGTACCTGATACCCTGGATCCTGTACATTTGCAAAGTCGAGCAAACAAATAAAAAAAAAATAAACAGGAAAATATTTGTGGCACACCTTGTCTAGCTTCTCGTCAGTGCTTGCAGTTGGCTCATCCGTTTCTGTGGCGGCCGCTGTGGCTGAATCTTCCGCCCCCAAGCCAGGCTGCTCCTCGGTGTTTTCATCACCTGTAAACAGACCCTGCGTCAACAAACTTGACTGGGAAATAGGTGAAACTTGTTTTGCCTTCTGTATTTTTTATAGGTCACTTTCTATGCTGAAAAATCACAAAAAATATTCCATTTTTTAAATTTCGTGCAATCTCGTCACACATTCATAACTTCAGAAATAAGTCGGCAATTATTTTTGGAGACTCAACAGACATTATTATTATTATTATTATTATTATTATTATTATATAACTGTTATACATTAATAATGTTTCTGTGCCTCTGGCAAGGCAGTGATAGTATGAATGATGGTGAAAGTGCTTCTTTTTTGGGTCACCCTGCCTCAGTGGGATACAGCAAGTGTGTAAAAAAAAGTAATTGCTATTATTATTATACAGTGAACCCCTGGTTACTGGCTGGTTTGGTAATCAGCCAACTCGGTTATCGCAGGTTTTTCAGTGCCCAGTTATCGGCTGTTCGCTCGGTTATCGGCCGTTTTGGACGCATCCATCCACCGGCTGGGGCAGCTTGTGCTTCAGTTTGGCTTTGTCTCTCGGTGGCTGAGGAAGCTTCTGCTCACACATCCAAACATTTCGCTTGTTTACTATTGTTTTTAGTGTTTTTTCTTGCAGTGCAATTGTGAAATAAGTAAAGATGGCTCCTAGTAAAGTTCCTGTGGTAAAGAAAGTGAGAAACACCATGGAATTTAAGCGTGAAGTGATAGAAAAGTTTGAGAGTGGTATGAAGGTGGTGGAACTTGCCAGGATGTACAGCAAGAATAAATCAACAATTACATCCATCCTGGCAAAGAAAGAACAAATCAAAGATGCTAAGGTTGCAAAAAGAGTAACTTTTCTAACTAAACAAAGGCCACCAATAATGGAAGAGATGGAAAATTGTATTATTATTGTGGATTAAGGAAAAAGAATTAGTGGGAGACAGTGTTGTGGGGTCGATCATTTGTGAGAAGGCAAAGCAGTTGCATGAGGATCTTGCAAAGAAAATGCCTGGAACAAGTGCTGCAGTTTGTGAATTTAGTGCCAGCAAAAGATGGTTTGATAGATTTATGAAGTGTAGTGGCAAACAGTTCTGGAGGAATCACTTCACTATCCTCCATTGCATAAGCCTTATAGGTAAGGCTTGGAAGGGAGTGACCTCCAGGACTTTGAACTCTGCTTGGAGAAAACTGTGGACAGATTGTGTCCAAGAGAGGGATTTTGCAGGGTTTGAGGCTGACCCTGCCGACCCTGTGGACTCAATTGTGGCACTGGGGAAGTCCCTGGGGTTGGAAGTGAGTGGCGAGGATGTGGAAGAGTTGGTGGAGGACCACAGGAAAGAGCTAACCACTGAAGAGCTGCAAGAGCTTCATCTCGAACAGCAACAGACTGCAGCTGAGGAACTTGTTTCAGAGGATGAGGAAGAGGGAGTGAAGGAGGTGCCTTCTTCAGAGATTAAAGAGGTATGTGCAATGTGGACTAGGGTGCAAGCTTTTAAAGAGAAACACCACCCTGACAAACCTGAAACAAGCCATATCTGCAACAATTTTAGTGACAAAACCCTGTCCCACTTCAGGGAAATCTTAAAGAGATGCCAGAAACAGAGCACTCTGGACAGTTATTTTGTGAGACAGGGGTCCAGTAACTCTTAAGCTGGTCCTAGTGGCAATAAAAGACAAAGAAGGGAAGTAACCCCAGAGAAGGCTTTGCTACCTAAAGTTTTTATGGAGGGGGATTCCCCTTCCAAACACTAACTCCTCCCTCTTTCCTCCTCCATATCTTCCAGAAGCCAGCATTAGCCTTCAATAAAGGTATGTAATACTTACATAATTGTTACAAAAATTATTTTTATGTGAATATTTTTGTTTGGAATGGATTATGTAATTGTATTTACATTAATTCTTATGGGAAATATTAATTCAGTTATCGGCCATTTCAGTTACTGGCCGACCTTCTGGAACGGATTACGGCCGATAACCGGAAGTCCACTGTATTCATGAGGTAAACAGCACATGGAGAGGGGGGAAACTGGATCTGATCTGAGGAATAGGAAGGCAGTTCCAATTCCTTGGATCAAGAGCCCTTATCCAACATCAAACATAAACCCTTAACCCGTAAATGGTCCAAACGTATATATACGTTTTTTCAACATTTGAAAGTATGTAAAAAAGTAATCTTTTCTTTTTTTTTTTTTTACATTTGAAAACGTGTAAAAAAAACTTTGATCTACATTTTTTCTTTTGATATACAGTGGACCCCCGCATAACGATATTAATCCGTTCCTGAGAGCTCATTGTTATGTTATCGAATGAATTTTCCCCATAAGAAATAATGGAAATCAAATTAATCCGTGCAAGACACCCCAAAGTATGAAAAAAAAATTTTTTACCACATGAAATATTAATTTTAATACACACAAACTGAAAAAGGCATGCACAGTTACATGACACTTACCTTTATTGAAGATCTGGTGATGATTGATGGGATGGGAAGAGGAGAGAGTCTTAATGTTTAAAAGGGGGAATCCCCTTCCTTTAAAGACTTGAGGTGTCAAGTCCTTTTGGGGGTTACTTCCCTTCTTCTTTTAATGCCACTAGGCCCACTTCAGAGTCACTGGACTTCTTCGCACAACATATCTGTCCATAGTGGCCTGTACCTCTCGTTCCTTTATGATTTTCCTAAAGTGTTTCACAACATTGTCAGTGTAATAGCACCACACGGCTTGCAATAGCTGTGTTGGGGTGATTGTCATCAAAAAAGGTTTGCACTTTAAGCCACTTTCCCAAACACATTTCCTTAATCTTTGAAGTAGGGCAACTTTTTCAATTTCTCTCTCCCCTCCTCCGAACCAAGTTTCCTTAGGTCTGGCCTCTTGCTGTTGAAGTTGATCTAGAGCTCATCAGTGGTTAGTTTCTTCATTGTCCTCCTCCACCAACTCTTCCAAAATCACCCCCACTAACCTCCAACCCCAAGGACTTTCCCAATGCCACAATGGTTTTCCTAAAACTGGCATAGGTTTCCCAGGGTTAGCCTCAAACCCTTCAAAATCCTTTGGTATACACATTCTGGCCACAGTTTCTTCCAAGCAGAGTTCAAGGTCCTTTTAGTCACTCCCCCAACCTTACCTATAAGGTTTAAAACAATTGAGGTTTATTAAAGTGATCTCATCCAAAACTCTCTTAGAGTCAATTGAGTTTCTGAGGTCACTACAAAGCACCTTTCAAACAGAGCTTTTGTGTACATTTTTTTTGAAGTTTGCAATAAACCTGCTGGTCCATGGGCTGCAGGAGAGGAGTGGTATTAGGAGGCAAAAACTTCACCTTAAATGAAGCTCATTCCCCATAAAGTCGCTCTGCCAGTCTGTAGGATGACCAGGGGCATTGCCCTAACACCAGGAGGCACTTAAGGTCTAATTTCTTTTCATTTTAGGTAATCTTTTACATTGGGGGCAAATGCTTGGTGTAAACCAGTCATAGAAAAAGTCCCTAGTGACCCATGCCTTACTGTTTGCCTCCACAGCACACAACAAATTAGCCTTGAGGATATTCTTTTCCCTGAACGGTCTGGGAGTTTCAGAGTGATACACTAATAAAGGCTTCACTTTGCAATCACCACTAGCATTTGGAACACATAAAAACAGAGTAAGCCTGTCTTTCATAGGCTTATGTCCTGGGAGGCCTTTTCCTCCTGAGTAATGTACGTCCTGCTTGGCATTTTTTTTCCAAAAAGGCCTGTTTTCATCACAATTAAAACACTTGTTCAGGTTTCAGTCCTTCACTGTCTATGTACTCCTTGAATTCCTGCACATATTTTTCAGCTGCTTTGTGGTCTGAACTGGCAGCCTCACCATGCCTTATCACACTATGTATGCCACTACGCTTCTTAATCTCTCAAACCAACCTTTGCTGGGCCTTAAATTCACTCACATCACACTAGTTGCAGGCATTTTTTTAATTAAAAACCTCATGAAACTTCCTAGCCTTTTCACTTATGATCACTTGAGAGATGCTATCTCCTGCTATCTGTTTTTCATTTATCCATACCAATAAGAGTCTCTCAAACCCCTCCCTTTCGATCTCTGTTTCGAAAACACAGTTAAACCTTTGGCAAGAACAGCTTCCTTGATTGCCGTTTTTTTGGACACAATATTAGCGATGGTTGATTGGGGTTTACTATACAACCTGGCCAGCTCGGAGACACGCATTCCACTTTCATACTTAGCAATGATCTCTTTCTTCATCTCTATAGTAATTCTCACCCTTATTCCTGTAGGGTTGGCACTAGAAGCTTTCTTGGGGCCCTTTGGGCCCCTTATTTTGCAGATAAAATCACCAAAAACACTGTAATAATACGAAATGTTCCGATTGTATGCTTGGATGTTACCGCGGAGGCTGGCTGGTAAACAATGCCACCGGCGGAACATGTGAGGCTGGCTCAGGCCGTACATTAGATGCGTCTCGGACGAATAACGTTGAGCGGGCTTTTTAGCGGTATGCGAGGCAAAATCTTAGCAATAAAATGTATCGGTATGCGGATTTAACGTTATGTGATGCCAACGGTATGCGGGGGTCCACTGTATTTGAAAATACGTGTAAAAAAAACGTAGATCTACTTTTGGAGCACTACGCATATGCATGTAGATCTTCTTGGACCGTTTACGGGTTAAAAGAAACAGATCGCATTAATCAAATGAATGACTATGTTAGCCCAATCAGACAATGCATTAATGGCCAACAATGTCATATTCGATTTACTGAGGACACATGGTGTCTTCCACAACAATTCGTCAATTCCAGAATTGATAATGGCTCAGGATGACCTGAATATTTTGATGTTTCAGAGTAGCTGGATGCATTTTCTGACACACTTCAAATTTTAGCTAAAATATGTACGTAGATTATTAAGTCACACTACACATGCATGTACATGCATATATAGACACACCCATCTGGGTTCTCTTCTATTTTCTTAATAGCTCTTGTTCTTCTTTATTTCTTATCTCCGTGGGGAAGTGGAACAGAATTCTTCTTCCATAAGCCATGCTTGTTGTAAGAGGAGACTAAAATGCCAGGAGCAAGGGGCTAGTAACCCCTTCTGTATAGTTTACTAAATTTAAAAAGAGAAACTTTCATTTTTCTTTTGGGCCACCCTGCCTCGGTGGGATATGGCCAGTTTGTTGAAAGAAGAAGAAAAAGAGAAACTTCTTTTTTTTTAGGTCACCCTGCCTCTGTGGGAGACAGCCGGCATTAAAAATAAGTGTAGGTTATCACACTTTCACTTGAAACTTGTGGTAATTTAGGATTTTTTGGACAATTTCTGGCTTAGGGCTAAAATGAAAATATTTTGACTAAAAATCATTAATGCATAGAAATCACCCACAGAAAGAACCTTTTCTTATATAGCTCCAAGACTGTGTAACAGGCTACCAGCATCTGTAAAGATTGTGTAACAGGCTACCAGCATCTGTCAAGATTGTTAACAGGCTACCAGTTGTAAAGGGCTGTTAACAGGGGTACCCAGTTGTAAAGACTGTTAACAGGCTACCAGTTTTTTAAAGATTTTGTAAAAAAGCTACCAGCATCTGTAAAGATTGTGTAACAAGGGTAAACCGCAATCTGTAAGACTGTGTAACAGGTACCACTCTGTAAAGACGATACAGGTCACGTTTTTTTGACTGCAAGGGACCCCTCTTTAAAGAATGGTTGTGGGCGTACCATCATCTTGTATAAATTGGTGATCGCTACCAGATCTGTATAAAACTGGGGATCGGCTACCAAGTCTGGTTAAATGGGTCGGGATCAACTGTCACTCTAAAATTAAAATTTGATCCCGGCGAAATCTTCAATGAATATTAACTTGGTGGTCTATGTCAGGCTTGAATTAAAACTCTGGTTATCCGTACTTCAGTCTTGAATTTTAAACTCTGGTGATCCTGGGATTGTACTGTCAGTCTTTGAATTTAAATCTGGTGAACCTGGTGATCGTACTGTCAGTCTTGAATATAAAAATCTGGTGATTCCCGGGATATACTGTCAGTTTAATAAAACTTGGTGATTACGTCAGGCTTAAAAATAAACTTGGTGATCCTGGTGATCTACGGGCAGTCTAAAATATAAACTCTGGTGATTTAAGGTCGAATTGTCAGTTTGTAAAAAAATTTTTTTTTACGTCGGCAAAATTCCTGGGCCGGGACGTTACGGTCCCCCAAAAAAAAAACTTTCTTCATTAACAATTTAATACCACACTTTCACTGTTCAAGGGAAAAAACACCCTTTAATTTTTTTTTTAAAAAAGCCAATTTTCAACCCCACTGGGCACTTGACCCAAGAAAGTCCCCCAAAAAATAATTTTTCATCTATCCTTCAAAATTCCCTCCCCACACTAACACTGTTTTCAGGGTCCCAAATACCATTTTAACTCATTACATTAAAAATTCCAAATAAACCCTCCCCCAAACCCCCAATTCCTCAAACCCCTTTTGAGTGAGCTTTATTCCCCTTTCCAGCCCTACCGTTTATAAATATGGGTTTTCCCTGAAACCCTTCCTAAATATAAAACCCCTCACAAAATCTAAACTTAATTCCCATTTACCAATTTTCCCACACTCCTTTTTCCTAATAAATTTTACCACACTACCCTTGCGGAAGTCCAAACCCCTCCCCCACAACACCCCTTTAAACCCCATTCCCTCCAACCCTTTCGGGGGAATGCCCCTAGGGCCCCCTTCCTTCCCCCCTAAAATTTTATACACCCCATTCATTCTACTTTGATCCATTCTCTCAAATGGCCCAAAACCCACCTCAAAAAACCCCTTAATACTTTTATTAACCCCACACCTTCTCCTAATTTCCACACTCTGAATTTTTCGCAAAATTTTACACCACACATTGCCCTTAGACAGGACATCTCCACTGCCTCCAACCACCTCCTCGCTGCAGCATTTACAACCCAAGCTTTACACCCATATAAGAGTGTTGGTACTACTATACTTTCATACATTCCCTTCTTTGTCTCCATAGATAACATTTTTTGCCTCCACATATACCTCAATGCACCACTCACCTTTTTCCTTCATCAATTCTATGATTAACCTCATCCTTCATAAATCCATCCGCTGACACGTCAACTCCCAAATATCTGAAAACATTCACTTCTTCCATACTCCTCCTCCCCAATTTGATATCCAATTTTTCTTTATCTAAATCATTTGATACTCTCATCAACTTACTTTTTCTATGTTCACTTTCAACTTTCTACCTTTACACACTCCCAAATTCGTCCACTAACCTTTGCAATTTTTCTTTAGAATCTCCCATAAGCACAGTATCATCAGCAAAAAGTAACTGTCACTTCCTATTTTGTATTTAATTCCCCATAATTTAATCCCACCCCTCTCCCGAACTCCCTAGCATTTACTTCTTTTACAACCACATCTATAAATATATTAAACAACAATGGTGACATTACACATCCCTAAGACCTACTTTTACCAGGAAATAGTCTCCCTCTCTTCACACACCCTAACCTGAGCCTCACTATCCTCATAAAAACTCTTTACAGCATTTAGTAACTTACCACCTATTCCATATACACCTACCATCCGACTTACGACCGAGTTCAGTTCCGAGAAACCAGTCATAAGTTGAAATGGACGTAAGTCGAACTTTACTACTTAATATCAACATAACATTTTTGTAATGACTTTATTTTATTGTTTTATTTTGGTATTTCATGTTTTACTTTACTTTTTATGCTGTTAGTACTGTATTTTATACTGTAAGGTTTAGGATAAACACTGTGTACAACACAAACACTTGTTTATTTCTCAGAGATTTGGCATAAAAAACATGGTCGTAAGTCGAGTCGTCGTCAGTCGAGCAGGTCGTAAGTCGGATGGTAGGTGTACTTGCAACATCTGCCACATTGCTTCCCTATCCACTCTATCATATGCCTTTTCTAAATCTATAAATGCAATAAAAACTTCCCTACCTTTATCTAAATACTGCTCACATATATGCTTCAATGTAAACACTTGATCTACCTCCTTGCTCATCTGCAATTCTACATTCTGTCTTACCTCTAATTCTTTCAATAATAACCCTACCATACACTTTTCCTGGTATACTCAGTAAACTTATTCCTCTATAATTTTTACAATCTCTTTTGTACCCCTTCCCTTTATATAAAGGGACTATACACGCTCTCTGCCAATCCCTAGGTACCTTCCCCTCTTTCATACATTTATTAAACAAAAATACCAACCATTCCAACACTATGTCCCCCCCCTGCTTTTAACATTTCCATCATGATCCAATCAGTTCCAGCTGCTTTACCCCCTTTCATTCTACGTAATGCCTCACGCACTCACCCCACACTCACATCCTGCTCTTCTTCACTCCTAAAAGATGGTATACCTCCCTGGCCAGTGCATGAAATTACCACCTCCCTTTCTTCGTCGACATTTAAAAGTTCCTCAAAATATTCTCGCCATCTACCCAAAAACCTCCATCTCTCCATCTATTAACTCCCCTACTCTGTTTTTAACGGACAAATCCATTTGTTTCCTAGGCTTTCTTAACTTGTTTAACTCACTCCAAAATGTTTTCTTATTTTCATTAAAATTTCTTGACAGTGCCTCACCCACTCTATCATCTGCTCTCCTTTTGCACTCTCTCACCACTCTCTTTGCATTTCTTTTACTCTCCATATACTCTACTCTTCTTATAACACTTCTGCTTTGTAAAAACCTCTCATAAGCTACCTTTTTCTCTTTTATCAAACCCTTTACTTCATCATTCCACCAATCACTCCTCTTTCCTCCTGCATCCACCCTCCTATAACCACAAACTTCTGCCCCACATTCTAATACTGCATTTTTAAAACTATTCCAACCCTCTTCAACCCTCCCACTACTCATACCTGCACTAGCCCACCTTTCTGCCAAAAGTTGCTTATATTTCACCTGAACTTCCTGTTCCCTTAGTTTATACACTTTCACCTCCCTCTTACTTCTTGTTGCCATTTTCCTCGTATCCCATCTACCTCTTACTCCAACTGTAGCTACAACTAGATAATGATCCGATATATCAGTTGCCCCTCTATAAATGTGTACATCCTGGAGCCTACCCATCAACCTTTTATCCACCAACTACTTTCATTTCATGCTACATCATACCTTGTATATTTATTTATCCTCTTTTTCATAAAATATGTATTACTTATTACCAAACCTCTTTCTACACATAGCTCAAGTAAAGGCTCCCCATTTTCATTTACCCCTGGCACCCCAAATTTACCTACTACTCCCTCCACAAAATTTTACCCACTTTAGAATTAGAATCCCCAACCACAAGTACTTTCACACTTGGTTCAAAACTCCCCACACATTCACTCAACATTTCCCAAAATCTCTCTCTCTCCTCTATACTTCTCTCTTCCCCAGGTGCATATACGCTTACTATAACCCACTTCTCACATCCAACCTTTATTTTACTCCACATAATCCTTGAATTAATACATTTATAGTCCCTCTTTTCCTGCCATAGCTTATCCTTCAACATTATTGCCACTCCTTCTTTAGCTCTAACTCTATTAAAACCCCTGACCTAATCCCATTTACTCCTCTCCACTGAAACTCAAAATAACCAATAACCCATATGGAGACAAAAACTCAGAAGATTAATTGTGGGATCCTTCTGTTGAAGAGGATCCTAGAAGGGGGTTGAAATATACAGATCAATTCTGAATTTCTGTCTCCATGTGAGTTATTACTAAGTATAAACTATTTTATTTTATTTTATTATCACACCGGCCGATTCCCACCAAGGCAGGGTGGCCCGAAAAAGAAAAACTTTCACCATCATTCACTCCATCACTGTCTTGCCAGAAGGGTGCTTTACACTACAGTTTTTAAACTGCAACATTAACACCCCTCCTTCAGAGTGCAGGCACTGTACTTCCCACTCCAGGACTCAAGTCCGCCTGCGGTTTCCCTGAATCCCTTCTAATTTACTTTGGCCCCCACCTCCAACAGCACGTCAAGACCCCCCGCCCACAACACCTCCTTTACCCATTCCCCCCCAACCCTTTCGGGGATGACCCCTATGCCGCCTTCCTTCCCCCTACAGATTTATACACTCTCCATGTCATTCTACTTTGATCCATTCTCTCTAAATGACCAAAACCCACCTCAACAAACCCTCAAAATTACTTTTATTAACTCCACACCTTCTCCTAATTTCCACACTCCAAATTTTCTGCATAATAATTTACACCACACTTTTACCCTTAGACGGGACATCTCCACTGCCTCCAACCGCCTCCTCGC